GACCAATACAGAGAAGTGGCCCATTTGGGATTTGAATTGAGGTCTGACCTGCCAGCCTGGCATCCAGCAGAGGCCTGGAGTCCCCTCTTCCCTCAGGCTCTGCTGAGCCCCTCCTGGGAGCCCAGACAACAGCTCACCCACCCTTCCCCACCTCCCCATCCCGTTCCTTACAGTAAAGACCACTTGAGTCTCGGCCACCATGTCCAGCCTGCAGTTGAGGTACTGAATCCTCTGGCTTAGTTTTTCTTTCCAGGTTCGGACAACGCCAAGGAGGTCTTCTGCGGTCCCCATCTAGTGAGAACACAGAGAACGAAAGCCCTGGGGAAGCAGCCTGCGGGAGAGCCGGCAGATTCCTCCAAAACTGCAGCAACTAGGGCTGGTCTGAGGAGGACGCTCTTGGTTCCATGGAGCCCCCTCACTCACAGGGAGGGCCCTGGGGGTGGGGAATGCTGCGCCAGACCTTAGGCGGCTGCACTGCGGCAGCAGATCCTTCACTGAGGGGGGCATCGGAGTTCTGTTGCCGGGTCTATGGGTTCAACTCCAGGCTAATAACTTGAACTTACCTGAGTGTCTTACAGATGGGGACACAGAATGTTCCCTAGGATCTCCTCTAGCTCTAACATTTGGCCCAGGTGGTGAGGGTGTGTATCTCACACCCTCAGGTGCCCAAGGAGGGCAATGTGGTCATCTCCATGGCAAATTCTAACAAGCAGCCCCTTTGAGCAGCACCCACAGGTGTGCAGGGATGCAACCACGAGGATCTTCACCCTCACCGCAGACCAAAGGCATCACTACCATCTCCATTACATCGCTACTGTCAAACCAGTCTCCTCCATCAACACACGAACACCTGCCACCCAGGCTCACACTCTCCCCATCCAGCCAGGAGGCTGGGCAAGCCCGTGGCACCACCCAAAACCCTGAAGAGAGAGTACAGAGCAGGGGTTGGGAGCTGAGGAAAAGTGAGAGACTAAATGTTTCTGCTCTGGAGAGGCAGAGCTTGCCCTAAAGGGCCTGTTGAAGAGTCACAGCAGATTCATCTAGTTTTCCCTTGCTCCCCAGTGGGTGGGCTCATCAAGGCAACCAGGTGAGTCACGGGAGCCACCTTTCCTCCACGCATCCACACTGCAGTGCGAGTTAACTTGGCGGGTGTGTGGACGCACGTGACGAATATACATCACAGGGTTTAGAGTGTTTCTATAGAAAATGAGCATAGTGGGAGGGACATTTAATCTGCACTCTATGCTTTGTGGATGTTTGAACAATCCTCAAGACTCTTGCATTGCTAAACAAGAAAAAGCAACAAAGATAGAAAAATAAATGTCCTCTCGGTGCTAATAGCAACAGACCCGCAACTCAGTGTCACCGAAGTAGAAGAGAAAAAGCAGAGAACGGGGAGGAGGAAGCTTCCCCCACAAGAACCCTCAGGCAGGTGCCCTGCTCTGGGGACTCCTGGTTGAACAGTTGAGGAAAGGATCCTTGGTGTGGCCAGGGCACTGTGGAATGGGGGACAGAGATGTGCGCTTGTGGCAGAAAACTAAGCATGTAGACCTCCAGGAACCTGCTCTACAGGTCAGGGTTCTGGCGGGCGCTCAGAACCACACTCCTCCCAAACTTGCTCCAATTCTGACTTCTCACAGTTTAGACACAGAAAACCAGTTTATGTGCTGTGATCAAAAGGAACCAGTGAAAAGTCAAGTGGAAAGTGGTTGTTGAGGGGGCAGCGCTCTGCTTCTGTCATTCATCCGGACTGAGTGCTCCCACACCAGGGACGCCTGGTGACATTACAGGGGTGCGAGGCCAGATGAAGCTGGGGTCAGGGCCACCTTGCTGCATTCCACATGCTTGCCTGGGAGGCGGTGGGGTTAGGGACGGGCTGGTTTCTCGTCTCTTTCTTCTTTCATTCCATTGGCTAAAACGGGTTAAGTAGGAAGGCTCAGAGACCTCCCTGTGCTGGAGAAATCCTGTATGCAGATGTAAGTTTATTTCAAGTTTATGATTCTAGCATGACACGTAGAATTTACTGAGCACTTACTGTTTTATCTCCCTTTGAGTTGCAACAAGCTTCTATTTTGCGTTGAAGCTGTGCCAGAGAAGAATTTAATCCATCTGTTTGCAAGTTGGATTTTGTCACCTAGAAAACCAGAGTTCTGAGATTTTGTTTCTAGAATATGTATTGTGATCAGGAAAATGTTTGACAAAACTTATTATCTGAGAAATTGATTAAGCACAGAAAAACATGAAATCAGGAAAAAATGCAAGGTTTGACCAGAAACTAGATCAATACAAATTTAAAAGATTTTTTTCCTATCAAATAGGTAAGAGATAAATTTAGTGTGGTGAGGGAGCTGGGAGAAGGACAGTCTCCTGCTCTGGTGTTGTGGGGCCAGGTCTGTAACATCCACCTGGAAAGCAGGAAGGGCCTGAGAACGTCCTGGCTCAGACCCAGATCCCAGCTCTCAGGAGACACTGAAGGATGCAGTCAGATACTGTGCACATGCACTTCTCATAGCACTGTGGGTCAGGAGAAGTGAAATCCACCAAATTTTCCTCCAAAAAGGAATGCTTAAGTAAAAATAGCAACATATCCATTAGAGGGAAGCCATCAAAACTGTTTTTGAAGAATCTTTAAAGATTATACTGATGATAAAATCGTATAAGTGGCAAGAGGCCAATTTTGATATATCCTCATCTTTTTGTGTGTAGAAAAAAGCTTAAAAATAAGNATTGAAGCTGTGCCAGAGAAGAATTTAATCCATCTGTTTGCAAGTTGGATTTTGTCACCTAGAAAACCAGAGTTCTGAGATGTTGTTTCTAGAATATGTATTGTGATCAGGAAAATGTTTGACAAAACTTATTATCTGAGAAATTGATTAAGCACAGAAAAAATGAAATCAGGAAAAAATGCAAAGTTTGACCAGAAACTAGATCAATACAAATTAAAAAGATTGTTTTCCTATCAAATAGGTAAGAGATAAATTTAGTGTGGTGAGGGAGCTGGGAGAAGGACAGTCTCCTGCTCTGGTGTTGTGGGGCCAGGTCTGTAACATCCACCTGGAAAGCAGGAAGGGCCTGAGAACGTCCTGGCTCAGACCCAGATCCCAGCTCTCAGGAGACACTGAAGGATGCAGTCAGATACTGTGCACATGCACTTCTCATAGCACTGTGGGTCAGGAGAAGTGAAATCCACCAAATTTTCCTCCAAAAAGGAATGCTTAAGTAAAAATAGCAACATATCCATTAGAGGGAAGCCATCAAAACTGTTTTTGAAGAATCTTTAAAGATTATACTGATGATAAAATCGTATAAGTGGCAAGAGGCCAATTTTGATATATCCTCATCTTTTTGTGTGTAGAAAAAAGCTTAAAAATAAGTCGAATCTTAAACAGGGGTTATGACTATGTGGTAGAATTATGAACTATCTCCTTTCTGTATTTGCTCTATATTTCCAATATTGTCCATGATGGAAATGTATTTTGCTTATCGTAGGAGATATACATGTAAAAATGCAACACGTATACACTGTGAACAGGCCCCAAATATCAGCTCAGAAAAAGGAATCTGTGCCAGCACCATGTGGAGGCCCATTAGAAATGTACTCCTTAAACAAGGGGTGGGGTGATGTGGCCTGGAACCCTGGGCTCTGCTCCCTGAAGCTGCCCCTTCCTCCCCCCCACAGGTCTTCTGGGACCTCTGTCAAAGCCTGCCTTTATTGAGGATTCACTATGCACCAGAGGCTGTGTCAAGAGCTGAGCACACATTAGCTCATTTATTGGTGCCACGACCAACTTTATGAGTTGCTTTTAGGACTCCCATTTCACAGGTGAGTGAATTAAATGCTTTCCGGGGCCACAGGGGCAGGAGCCTGGGATGGGAGTCAGCAAACCTTTCTGTTATTGGAATACATCTGCCACTCCCAGGAGACAGGTCCATCCGCCTCAGCTCTGCGTGTCCTAGCCCAGTGGGTCCTCAAATGCTGTTCCCTGAATGGTGCCCTGACCTATGTAATGGCCTAGGCCCTTCATTTCCAGTGCAACCCTAGTCCCACCCATCCCACTGCCACTTAACTCTGGAATCAGAACATGTCCAGGCCACCACTCTCTCCGCCTCATCCCCTCACCCCTGCCACACTCCTCTCTCCACACCTCCAGCCTTTCTGTAGCCAGCAGCCAGAGGGCTCTCCTCAAAAGTGGCCCTGAGCACACGGCCCTGCCAGAATGCTTCCCTCGTCCCCAACACCTGACCAAGGCCCCGCTGACCTGCCTGCACCTCTCCAGCCTCAGCTCGCCACCCCTCTCCCTCACCCTCTCACTCCTCTTGGCTCCAGCTCCCTGGATTTTTTCCATCAATTCTCCAGGGCCCTCTGCTTCCCACCCCATGCCTGGCTGGCTCCTACTGCTCCCTCAAGCCTCGGGAAGCCCCGCTTACCCAGCCCAAGTTAAATCCTCTCCTCCTACCCCCACACGCCCCACACGGCCCTCTTCCCCTTTTGTCGCACAGATGGCCAGTTCATGGTCAAGGCCATAATCTCTGGTATCAGTTAGACTTGAGTTTCTACATTTTGGCTCCACCATTTAAAAGCTCTGTATTCCTGCCTGTCACTGAGTTACTCTGTGCCTCCGTTTCTTTATCTCTGAAATGGAGATTAAAAACAGTACTTGCCTGGGCCGGCCCGGTGGCGCACTGGATAGTGCGCGGCTTGGGAAGCGCGGG